GTTAAGTCGATTGAACTTAAATATTTCATTCCTTGGAATTTGATAAGTGTGTCATCCATGTTGGTCGGACACTCTCTATCGGGTATTATGACGGTGTTGATTTTTCTAGCATCTAAACATAGTCGAATATCTCCATTTTTCTTTTCTATGCATACAATCGGTGATGACCATGGTGATGTTGATTTTTCTATAATTTGCAGGTCTAGCATCCTTTGTATTTCTGCGTCTACTTTAGGTATCCTTGATACGGGTATCGGATATGGTCGTTGATAGATAGGGTCCCCTGGTTTGACGCGTATCTGACACTGGAAGTCGGTGATTTTACCAGGTTTTTCCGAAAAAATGTGTTCATACCTGCTGAGTAATGATATAAATGTATTACTCTCTTGATCGGTTAATGCTATTTGGTCGTCATCAGTATTTTCACTTATTTCCACATTGAGAAGATGTTCCTTGATTATCTTTGGTTCTCGGTTGGCGAATGGAATGGTGAGTGGTACGTTATTGACGTTGAATTGTATTGTCTGTTTATTGAACTTTATCTGCGCTGAATATTTGTTCAATAGGTCGGCTCCCAGTATTCCTTGTTCATTGAGGCCTTCCACTTGTATGAAGTTAGTTTGTAGGTAAATGTCCCCTATTTTACATTCACAAAATATTTGCTTGGACACTTGGCATATTCGTTTTCCTACAGCGTTACTAATTTGTATCCCCGTGACTTGTAGCTGTGGTATCCTAGGATTTTTCTGTGTGATCACGTCAATCACCTCCTTTGTAAGTACGCTTATTGTGGCTCCGGTGTCGACTAACAACAGCATTTCTTCACCCTCAATTTCACATTTGATATATGGACTTATTGATGCATTTGTAGTACTTAGTGAATTTATTGCGTGATTTTCACTATTATTACTTGCGTCGGTTTGTTCATCACAATTTGCGATCACTTGGTTGACTCTTTCAGTTTGTGGTTGATTATTTGGTCGAGCGTCCTCACGTCGGTCATTGTGACGTGGTGCTTGGTTGTTGTTCCAACGATTATTGCGTGGCGGCATGTTGTTCCATCCACTGTTTCGTGTGTTGTTCCAATTGTTGTTATTTCTGTGTTGATTATTTTGATTATTGGAATCGTTTTGGTTGGTTTTTGGCTGATTTATTTTGTTTTCGGTGGGTTGATCGCCTTGCCCCTCCTCACCTAATATTTTCATGGCTGAAAGTATGGTACACTCTGGTAACGATACTAATATTGCCCTGAGGTAACCTGGGTAGTGCCGAGCTATGTGCTTCACTATTTCTTGTTCGGACAACCGTGGTACCTCCAAATGTCGTAACTTCGTTGCCCACGTGGCAAAATGTTCACGGTAATTTGTGTTTGTTGGTATGTGTTTTGTATTTAAACATTGACTCCATACCTGTATTTGTATTTCTCTGGACCAGAACTCGTCAATAAAAGCTCTTTTGATTAATTTTTTGCAGTAATTGGTTGACTAAATATTGACTGTTTCTTTCTACTTCGTTTTTAAATGCATTGAATGTTTCTTCTGATATATTTTTCTTGGGTGCCATTTTTTTTTAAAGATGTAGGTTTCTTCTTAATGAACACGATGCAGTATTTTCTTAATCTCGTGGGTCGACGTAGAAATGTTTTTTCTTACTCGAGCACTGCAGTTGGGCGCCAATGTAATGAAAACGCAACGCTTGATTTATTGTATTTATATTATTGCGCGTTTATTTTCATCATCTTTTTGATATTTTGTATTACAGTATTAATTATACTACTCTTACGAGTTTACAATATAAAATAAGTTAAATGTGGGTTAACATAAAACATGGGGGGGGGGAGAAAGCGTGTACATATAACTCACGGTTTTAATGTCGGGTTTTGAGGTGGCTCTACTCGGACGGCGGCTTTCCCTCACGACAACTGATGGCTGGGTCTGTGGCAATAAGCTTCCACGGACAGTGGCGCGATCACGGCGACGCGGTAATAATATGTTATTACCGGCGGGAACGGCTCGACTTTGATTCAACAGGGACTCTGCTCGGAGATATGTTGAACTTAGAACGACTCGGATGGTGCGACGTCTTCCTTGGTCTGCTCGGCAATTGATAGTCGTACGTTGGTCAGTGTTACTGGCTACTCAGCTCGGACGGCGGCGCTCAGCGACTACGGACACGTACCAACTTGTTCCAACTCGAACGCACTGCGACGGTGGTGGAGTGGAAAGGAATGCCGGGACAGACTATACGAATATCCGTTATTGCCGATATAAATATTGGCCGGCTTAATATTGTTCCTCGCAGCGGGGAGAACGTTGTTTGAACGGTGGCCAGCGGCTTATATTTCTGCTATGCCGGGCATGCTGGTTCCATGTTGTTTGGTTGTAAAATCGTATAATATTACGTTGTTCATCATTCGGCGGTTTGTTGAGGTGTTTGATATTGACTGGAGTATCTAACTTATAGTTTAGAACTCAAGGAAAAGGAATATGTCACCCGCGACTTGATCGGAGGTGTGGTTCTGTTAGAAAACTCGATTTCCCGGTGGGCGGCGGGCACTTGTGCAATAATGCGTGGATGCGCGCTATCTATATATTATAGCGGCAGACGCGCGTAGTCGCAGAATCGGTTTCTCGCGGCGGCACTCACTTGTGTTGTGGTAATGTACAAAACCAGAGCGCGCCACCTATTTGGTTGCTCCGTTTTATCTCATTACAACTAAACTGTTCTTGGAAAAGTATTATTTTTGGAAATATAATTATCAGAATATCACTGAACAATAACAACATGGAAATATAACCAGAATCATAACAATTTATTCTAAAGTCACATACCATAATAGTTTTGAAAGAAAACTGATTTGGTGAAGGATTAAAATAATTAAAAAAACATTTTAATAAAATATATACTTTATGACTTAATTTTAGATGTATTATATATTGTTTTACTATGCAGAATAATTTTAACAAATTATATTTGGTATTGATAAATCAATAATAATTCCAAAAGTTTCAAATCATCTAAGCTTTCATAGTTTCATATCGTTTTATCCATAACCATAGACATACCATTATAATTAGTACAAAAATTATGTAACTCAAAAACTAATCGTTCGAATATTAGTTGTCAAATACAATATCAATAGAATGCACAATATAATAATTATTATATAGTAATAATTATGAAATCAGTAATAAAAGTACAATGGAAAATTGGTACATACGTAGGTACCTATTATGATTTACTTTAATGATCAATTATTATAAGAACTGTTAGAATTATTACATATAAGTAAAAACTAGTTATACGAAATACAAAGATTGGTTCCAATTACAATTCGAATAAATTATAATCATAAGTCATAACATTACCATATAAAATTACCGTGAACTTAATTATGTATGTTACACAGTCTAAGAATATATTGATTGTGGTGATACACTTCTGTAAAAACTGCGATTGAATTTTTTGATTCTGGATCCTAGAGACTTATTACTCCGTTGAAATAATAAAAATAATAATAAGAGTGTAAAAACCATAAGATGCACCATGTTCTGAAACTAAAAATATTTATTCATATTACTTAATTTAATCATACGTCAATTCTTTGGTAGTAGGAACAATAAAGATTTACAATATTTTAATTACAACTGAATACTGATGAATAAATACTATATTACAACAATATGTGATAAAGTACTTATAGCATGTGCCAGATGTGGTTTGAAACTATAATATTTTGTGGTGTCTTGTACACACATCCTCAATCAAAATATTTCATGTAACATTGTAATACACATATTAAATACAAAATATAACTAAGTAGTAGAATGATATTTTTATGTACACCCTTTAAAGTTTAGACCACTGAAATACAATCACTAACTGACCTAAATGACACATTGCACATCCATAGTCCCTCGTATTATATTACATAAATACGTCATAAGCTCAACTAGGCTTAGTCCCCCTAAAACTTGCAATAGCCAACCCTAAATAAATTATTCATTTGTTTCCTAACATATTAATAAATCTTTAAAAATAAAACTGTATTTCTTACATGTTTTTTTTTTGGGGGGGGGGGAATTTAATTATCTATCAATGGCCGCCATTTATAAGCAAACAAAGGTTTCAATTTCCACGTGAACCTCAAAGATACCTGTTTGACCACCATTTTAAAATATCGGAATTTCCTTTCTTATTCCTTTACAAATTTCAAGTACATATATGGTTTGTAGTTTTTGAAATGTAGCGATGAATGAGAGAGTGATTGAGTTAGAGAGTGAGGGACTCAGTGAGTGGGTGGTGTTTGGCTTAATATATGCAAAACTAGTACATACGTAGGTATCTATTATAATTAATTTTAATGAACAATTATATGAACTGTTAAAAATTGTGAAACATTAGTTAACAAAACTATGGCTTGTGACATTAGCCATTTACTCTTCATCTGCCCCCGCCTTTCAACACATCATGACCACTTTTTATGACTTTTGAAATCAACCAACATTCCTTTCGATACAATAAATATATTTTCAATCCAACAAAAAAATATCATATTATTCTATATTATATTATCTTTTTTTGACCATATAGGCTTTTTAATTTAATAGTATTTCTTACTCTTTCTTCTTGTAAGCAACTTTTCTACTGCACCGCATAATTGATGAAACTAATTGAATTGGGAATTTCCAAAAGGGCCCATCTCAAGTTTTATCAAAATATAATTTCCCGTGTTTTTTTCATTTACTTATTATATAGACCGATATTTTAATAGCGAAAAGGCCTCATATCTGTTTCAATTTTAAATCTCTGTAATCCTCGTAAAAATTTCGAAAAGGACTCAAACTCGGAAAACTCAATGTTGCCCTTTTCAAAATTCCAGATTCAATTGTAATTAAAAAGTTTAAATAAAAAAAAACTTAAAAACCAATTATACAAATTACAAATATCCATTTCAATTACAATTGGAATAAATAATTTTCATAACATTACCTTAATTATTATTTGTATTTCTTGTATTCTATATACAGTCGACGAATCCATTGAATGTGGTACTTAACTGATGTATAAAGTGAAATTGAATTATTTGCATCTGGATCCTTGAGACTCACAACTCCGGTTAAATAATAAAAATTAGAATGCAAAAAGCATAAGCCTGCACCACTGTCTCCATTATCTACACCATGTCCTGAAACTAAAAAAAAATGTATACATAAAAATACTTTTAATCATACGACTGCAATCGGGAAATAAGGTAACTGTATATCCGAGTTCGCGTACCATAAATAGAATATACTATGCTTTCGTTATATTATATTATAGGACTTAAGTCCGTTTATATGAATAACTAAATAAATCAATAATTAATATAGATTTACCTTGTAGTAATAACAAATCATGTACAGGGATATTACAATGATTTATAATACTGTAGTCTGTAGGTACCTATGACATTTGATAGATGTGATTTGAAACTATAATAATATAATAGTGGTGTCATGTACACACTTCTTCAGTTAGAATATTTAATATAACATTTTAGATTCTGAGTGAAACGATGAATGTATTGATTTTACAATGATGTGTGTTTTTTTTTAAATTTTTTTTTGTGTCTGTCATCACGTTTTAGGACAGTAAAAGTGCTTGGATTTTCTTCATCAGTAGCTTTTCTGATAGGAAAGTGAATCTAGTTGGTACTTTAGGTATAAATAGAATATAAGTATAAATATCCAAGTAGTTTTCACAAGCGCCGGGAAAAACAACATAAACATTAAGGAAAAACGGGAATTTTTACGCAAAATTAGTTTTCCAAAAAATCGACTTTGGTTTTTGGTGTAACTCTAAAACAAATGAACGTATATATATGAAATTTTCACTGGTTGTTTATATTTGTATTTTCTATACACGATAACATTTTCAAAATATTTTGATTTATTTTGAACTGTTTAGGGACATTTTCATTTTCCATTTTTTTTTATTTTTTTTTCTAAAAATATCTATAAAATTTTATTTGTTGGTAGCGAAAGCTTGAACATTTAATAGAAAGCTCATAATATATTGTTTCAAAGGCAGATGAAAAATATTAAAAATCCTTAGTCACAATTTTTTTTTTATAAGCATTTAAAGTTCAAAAATTGTAAAAATATGGAAAAATCACGAAAATTAGCGAATTATTTTGAGTTAAGAATTCGTAAACATTTTTCTTTTTAAATATAAGATTTGGAAATGTAATACAAGATTACTCATAAGTTTGTCTACCTTTATCAATAAAAAAATCTCTACCGGAATGTCAAATTAATTTCTTATGAGCGTTTGAAATTCAAATTTTTACAACATTGGATGTTCACTCGATTTCTCATGTGGCGATTTCCTTATTTTGTTGTAATTAAAAAATGAATAACTGTAGATACATGAAAATTTCACTGAATGTTTATATTAGCATTTCCTATACACCATACAATTTTGAAAATATTTTGACTCTTTTTGAGCTGTTTATGGACATTTACAGCTTTCAATTTTTTTTAGTTTTTCTTTCTATAAATATCAATAAAGTTTTATCTTTTGGGCCAAAAAGTGTAAAAATTTAATACAAGGCTCCTGATATATTGTTACAATATTAGTTGAAAAATATTAAAAATACATATTCACAGTTTTTTTTTATAAGCATTTTAAGATCAAATTTTGACAAAATTTATCAAAATCTCGAAAATTATCAATCATTGCAATTAATAAATTATAAAATGTTCAGTTTTTATAGCTAAGGATTGCAAATTCAACACAAAGGTTCTCGTAAATAGTTCATACTGTAACCAAAAAATCTAAAAAAAATATTAACACAGTTATTTTTTACAGACATTTTAAATTCAAATTCGGACGAAATTACATATTAAAAAACCTAGAATAACTATTTTAGTTATTTTTTTTTTTTTTTATTTTATTGATCTAATAGTTAACATCGACGACAAAGGCCATTAGTTACCAACAAGGTTTTTATACAATAATACAAGTAACAATAATGATTAATAATTTTTTAAACAAGACCGAAAAGTTTTGTTTGTTTCAGAAATTTGATTATATCCAGGTTGTTTTCTTGGTTGGGTCCGAGTGCAGAATCGAGGTTGTGAGATATGTTGTTCGCGGCCCGTTCTTGGTTGAACTTTAGACAGTCGGCAATTAGGTGTTTGACTGTTAACAAGGTTCCGCAGGTTTGACAGGAGGGGGGTTCCTCTTTAGCCATCAGAAAGCCGTGAGTAATTCTGGTGTGACCCGTACGGAGTCTATTGAGTACCGTATCTTCTTTACGGTTGAGGTTGGGATTAGACCAACGGTATATGTCTCTTTTTATTTCATTTAATTTTGTGTTTTGTATGTTCCAGATTTTTTGCCATTTATATTTTGTACGTTCATTTATGAGTTTTTTCGCGTCGTCGTATGACATTTTATTAATTAAGACGGTTTCTTTGTTGTTGATGGCGATTGAGGCGTGTTCATCGGCTATTTCATTGCCTATTATGCCCGAGTGTCCAGGTATCCACATGATGACGATATTTTTACCCAGACAGGAAGCTAGGCTGAGGTTGTTCAGAATTTTGGATGCAATATCACCGGGATTGAAATGGTTCTGCAGACTTTTTATAGTGCTCAATGAATCGCTGAGAATGATGAATTTCGAGTGAGCTTCTTGTAATATAGTCTCAATAGCCATAAGAATGGCTAAAGCTTCGGCTGTGAATATGGAGCACTCCGGAGGTAGTTTGTGTATAATTATTTTATTTGGGAATATAATCGAGAATCCTACACCATCATGAGTTTTTGAGCCATCAGTGTAAACTTCCTGGAAGTCTTTGTAGTTACTTATAATGCTTTTAAAGAAACTTTTGAAGATATTTGGCGAGGTTTGTTGTTTGTGAAGACAGCTGAGTTCTGTATTAATTAGATATGAGCTGGCCCAAGGGGGTTGGGAAATTTTTTCTTTGGATATAATTTGCGATTATATCGGTTAACCAAAAAATCTAAAAAATATATGAACACAGTTATTTTTTACAGACATTTTAAATTCAAATTTGGACGAAATTACATAAAAAAAAACCTAGAATAACTATTTTAGTTATTTTGTTGTGATTGAATAATATTATTCGTGGGTACTTGAAACTTCTAAAGTGTACTATTATATATCTATGATAGTATCACGGTTTTTGTTGATGTATAACGCGTTATAAGTACCTAATGGATATTGTGATATGATTAATTTGGAATTTATTATAGGTACCTATTATAGGTCAATTTTTGTTTAATACCATAGATATGTATATAATACGTCTTATACATAGACTGACATACCGTCTCCGCTCAGAATCGTTTTTCTTATACAATGATATTATATCGTTGAATTCAAATTTAATATCATCCATTATACAGTGACCCACTTGTAACCTACTGTACAGCAGAGCGACACCCACTTGCCCACCTTTTTATATACACATTAGATAAAAAATATCGTTAAATACATTTATAATTTAGAGTAACGAAATAAAATCACTAATAAACCTTAAACGACACAAAAACGTGGTTACCCGAATATAAATATTATACGGATAAGACATATTCGCTAAATATAACATATGTAATAATAAAATGTAAATAACTATGTTTTATTTGAATAATTAAATATTTTTGACCATAGAAGTATATTTTGTATTTTAATACATCAAAATCCTGTGTGTAACATTCAAATACCTGATTATGATGACAATGAGCCAGGGGTTTACGGTGGGCCAAATTTAATATACGCTTTGCATCAAGTGCAAACATTTTTAGAGGAATAGAGCGGTTGAGAAAATGAAGAATAGATAAGATTTACTTTAAAAAATGAATGATTGTTTATAATATACTCTTAGATTCATTAATTTAATAAAAGTAAAGTTTATTGAAAAAAAATCAATGATTTCAATTTTTTTCATATTTAAGTATTTTATTACCATTGGAAGAACCGGCACAAAACTTATCAGTAGTCACAAATGATTTAAATCCATATGTACACATACTCCAGCAAGATCTTATGTCAATGTATGGTAAACCTGTTTCTAATAAAACAGGACTTACAGTGTGGTTTTCCATAACTCCCCAACCAACAACCTGTAAAAGTAGAAAAATGTTTGAAATTTTATTATAGATTCTTAGCAGAGCGATTCATGTATTGACTTTACTAAATTGTGTGTTTTTTTTTCACTGTTTATAAACTTTTGTTCTAGTACAAATAATGTTTCGATATTCAACATTCAACGTCTATTATGATGGAAAAGTCAAACTCGTTGGTATTTTTGAGAGGACAATTTGGAAAATATACATTAGTTTTCAAATGCGTTGTAAAAAACAAAAATTAGTCTTTAAGGCTGTTAGGGTTGGTAGAGTAGGGTTGGGATGCTTGGTACTCTTGATTAGCAACACGTGTAAGTGTGGAAATGCCTATGCCACTATACGAACCCACCCGGGAATATTACTCACTCTCAACCGCGTTTCGTGATTGATTGTAGCCATCGCGCAAAGCGCCCACCGCCCACGCCTAAGTTTTTTTATCTCATCAATATACTAATAAGTTAAAACCGTAGATACTTTAAATTTCCACTGCATGTTTTCACTACGATTCTCTATATATTGTTTATTTTTAAGCTATTCGTATTAAGAACATTTTCATTTTTATTAGTTTTTTTAAAATTATTGTCGATAAATCCCTTTGTCAAAATATTTAAATATTTAATACAAGGTTCCTGATAAGTAGTTTTTAATGGAAACTTAAAAACAAATTTAAGAGTAAACACAATAGTTTTTTTATGAATAGCGGAAATTATAATTTTTTTAAAATTCATCAAAATAAAAATAATAATTTGCAAAATAATTTTTGGTTAGAAATTAATAAAAAAATTTCGATTTATACCTATCTAAGATTTTAAAATTTAATATGTTTCCCGAGAAGGCAAACTAATTTTTTATGAGAGTTTGGAGTTTTTTTTCAGTAATTGATAATCAGCCGTAAGTTAATGAATTCTGATCGAACGTAATTATTATTGATTTAAGTATTGTGGATACTTACTTGAAATTCAGAACATATTTATTTTATCATATTATATAAATGATACAGTTTTCATATTAGTTTGACTCGTTTTGAATTGTTTGTAGCAGGGCTTGCATTTGAAAAAAAAAATTCGTTTTATGTTATTTACAATTAAAACGTTATACAATTTTTGCGTTTATCGTTATTCAGAATTAAAACGTTATAAAAGTTTTGGGTTTATCGTTATTTAGAACAAAAACGTTATTTTACCCAACATTTTCCAACAATCCAGTGAGTAATTTACTACTTAATTTTTTTCAACATCGTTAAAAGAAAATTATAATTTATTATTTTGTTAATATTTAATATTGGTAGGTATAAATGGAATTCTATATACCTAACATCTAGGTATTTTATATAATTACTTTAGAATTTATAACTGAATAAGTTAATAAGGTGAAAACAAAAATAACTAACTAGTTAAGTTAAAAAGTTTAAAAAAATTAACTTTAACTTTTTAACAAGTTATTGCCCACCTTTGCATTTTCAGTACTGGGTTAGAAATTGTTCTACCCATGGTTGTGTTATTTGTTTTAATATGTAACTAATATAAATAAAATGGATGTTTTAACAACAGTTTATACTTTAACAATGACAAGAGGACCCCAGTAGTACAGACTACAGAGTAGACAAAGTACAGGGTGAATACAAAATAAGTCTATCCTCTATACTTCTACAGCTCAATTATCGGGGCATCATTAATCATTATTTATAATAATTATTATAATTATTATACTACTATTATTATTCAATTTAAATCAATAACTCCAAAAATACGCGGGTAGATAATGCCCCGGATACGGAATATAATATAATCAATTCTTAAATTTTTTTCTAAGACAAAAATAAATAGCATGAAATAAAATATATTTCTACGAAACCAATATACCTTACTTTTAAATAAATGAATTTAAAATTTTCAAATAAATTTGTATTTCGTTATTTTTCGTTTAATGATATTCTATAAACTACGTTTTGCGATATTTTCTGTTTAATGATATATTATATATTTTGTTATTCGTTATGCTTTGTTTTGCGGTATTTAATTATTTTTGATTATCGCTTTAATTTATATAATTACGTTTACAAAATTTCAATCGTTATTTGTCAAATATAAAGATATAATCATCATGTTATTATAACACTTGCAAGCCCTGGTTTGTAGTAATTTTAAATTTATTTAGTTTTTTTTTCTAAGCTAAGGATTATGGATAAAAATTTAAAACAAGTTATATCATATGTAATTCATACATAAAAATATTTAATTTTATTCCTATAGTAAGTTCAATTGCTTACGAAATTAGATATTTAATCAAATATTAACAATTCGAGTTATTTTGTTGTAACTCAAATGTATTTTTTTTTTAAAAAGGATAACTGAGAAACTGTCTCCTCTCAGAATAATTATTGAAAGCATTTAAAAATTACACTATCCATTACAATGTCCCTCTTTACCCTACATAACAGAGTGGTATTCATTTGCCACTTTTTTATTTATATATTGTAACATGCCAATATTTATGCAAACTTTAGCAGAGAATCTCACAGTATTTCTTGTATACAAATGGACAACAGTTGATAATTATAGATACGTAAATCACTGCAGTTAAATCACAATTTAAAAAATACTACAAACTAACCTTTCCCTCATCTCCATTGGATACATTGTATTTACCATTCCAATCCATACAAATAGGTGTAATACTATTACTAAAAGAAAAACTGTTTTGTAATACAACAACAGCTATATCTTCAGCATAATAGCCAGAAGCTCCAAAATAAGATTCTTTCAGATAAATCTTATCCACCTGTACATTAATTGTTCTAATTTATATTATACGTGTCATACAAATTATTTATAGACATTGAATTATAAATAACTTACATTCATTAATTTAGTAATTTCACTGTCAATATTTCTAAAGTTTCTGTCATATTTTCCAGCGGCGATTTTGTATAGACCGTCATTTACTATTATTGTAATATTTTCCGTAACACTTTTCGAAAAACAATGAGCAGCTAAAAGTATATTTATTTCAGTTTCATTCTTCTTTTTCCTGAAATTTGTTATACAAATTATTTACCAGAAACGACTAAATTTCGAGAAATAATTGATCCTCCACAAATTAAGTCGTAATTGGAATTTTGTTCATATATTGCCACATTCCAGGGTGCCGTTCCAATATTTGCTTTTTTACCATTCGCAATCAGTACTTGGTTATTGACAAATGTTTTACCGCATTCTAAAATAATATTTGAATATTAATATAAATAATAATAGTATAGATAACGGAAAAGTTCATAAATTGGAGATTTATATTTATACTATTAAAAATACAATTACCTGGCTCACATATATATAGTTCATTATTCCACATTCCGTTCGACTGACAATGTAATTCAATTGTAGTCTCTTTTTGTCCGTTTGGTAGAGCATAAGCAGACTTACATTTCGTGGTTGCTATTGTGTCAGGTATCGATGGATTTGAGCAATTAGCATAACTATCATTATAACTACATTTAATATCTAAGCTATCTGATAGTAGAGGAGGACACATTTCTATAAACATAAAAGAGTTATATTCAAACATGCCTATACGTCGAAATCAAAATATTTAAATAAGTAATCATTACAACATACAAATGTCAATACAAAACTTATTCAATCATAATAAAATTAAAATCAAACATAACCAAAAATCGGACACATAATATTTAAATAAAAAGTTATTACATCCTACAAATTACAAAACAAAACTTACTCAAACATAGTTTTTCAGAATACGTTTTCCAAATTCCATATATCTGACAAACCCTAAAACCATTCAGATGAGCTTTATGATATCCAACTTTACAGCTCTCAATAACAGTAGTGTTAGGATCAATTAATGCCCCGGGTGATAAAATTGAATGAGAACCTTCATAAGAATGTACAACTCCTTCGACAGTTGGTATAACACATGAATTCGCTGTACTCTGTCAAAATATTAAATGTTAAGAATATTATTTCATTCTTTGTAAAATATGTTAGTTTAGAAACAAAATCGTCATTAAATTAACCAAGCCAATTCAATAAATTAAACATTTTAATTGATACCTATATAAAGAAACAAATGTACGTACATGTTTGTTCAAAATTCCACGAATGATTGGAACATAGTAATTTATGTCTAGAAAAATTAGGTATTTTCTCGAATTCGATGGATCAAAGTCAGTCATTATCCCGGTTAGAAAATATGAATTAGAGTGTAAAAAGCTTAAGCTCTGGTAGTTAATGTATCGTCCATATTCTGAAACGAGTGGTATTTTATACATAAGACACAAATGAAAGATTTTGTTATTGTTGGGTTTTTAGGTGAAAATTCATTAAATTTTCCTGTGGGAGGTTTACATTTTTTATATATTATATAGCTTAGCCACCACTAGTTTTGGCTGGATAGGAATGCACATTCAAAACTTACGTTATTTCTTCACCAATAGTTTTGGTGGTTTCCAGCTGGAAACTTTTTCACACTAATAAATTATTACTTTCGGCACTTTTATAAATTTCATACTGAAAAAACTAATGGCAAGTGACACCTATGTCGCGAGTTACGCATGGGTTTATACTTTGTACTGATAAATTAATGCGTTGTTACGAATGTCATATACTCATATCGGAAGTACAAACAAATTAATGAAAATGGAAGTACTTACGATTTGGTTTTTTTTGTTTAAACTCAAAAAAATAAATGCAATATTCTAAATATTTTTAAATGTTTGACTCTTTTTGAGCATTTATACGTGTCAAAAAATGTCTATATTTATTCGTTTTTTTTAAAATCATTGTCGATGTAAAATAGTTGGCTTGGTAAACATACTTAACAATTTTATGAAATCGAAATCATACATTTTGTGAGTGGAAACTAAAAATAAAGGTAAATCGTAATTCCACAGTATTTTTTTTCTGAATGTCCGTAGTTAGGATTTTAGGAAAATATTTCAAAATCATTAATGATAGCTAATTTACATCTAAGATTTAAAAATTTAATACAAGATTCTCCATATCATTTACTACCTTAAATAAAAAAAAGTTTACCGAAAGCCGAACTATTTTTTTATGAGCATTTAAAGTTTAATTTTGTTCAACATTGCATTTTCAAACGTAAGTTAACAAATTCTCATTGAAGGTTTTCATTGTTTTGTTGTAATTGAAAACTTAATAATCTTAAAATTTCAATGGGTACAACTATTTGCAAATAGTTTTTAGTTTTCTAAAGAACACTTATCTTTGAGAAATTCATAAAATTGTTCTTAATATATTCAAGTTTTGAAAAATGAATACAAGATTCCTCATAACTCATAAGTTTTGGCAATAAAAAAAAAGGCAAATTGCTGTGAAATAAGTATACTCATTACTCCACCCAGAATCTATATTTCTATTAGGTAATCAATTGAAAAAAACATTGCATTTACATACCCATTATCATAAAATTATCGGTCATCTTTTATTTACTGTTTGAAGTTTAAATTACTTTCACCCAAAAAAAAAAACCATTTATGTATTGTAAAAATCATAAAAATACCCATTTCCTTAATTTTTATATAGATTTAGACTATTTAGAACTATTTAGACAAGTAAAAGAATATGTTATTTTTAACCCCCAAAGTACCAACAAAATTCAATATTTTATTAAAAATATAATTAAATGATCAGCATATAAATTTTTTTTACCGAATTGCAACCTGATGCAATATTTAAAATAAATCAGCGTTTGTGAACCGTATCCAGGAGTATTTCTTACTATACAAGAATTGTTGTCGATGTGTGAAAAAAATCGTTCGAATACAGTATGTGTATGAACATGTTGAGTTCCATTGAGTTGAGTACCAGCAATCTGTAAAAGTATAAACATTTTTTTATGATGTACAATTCAAATAAAAGCATAACCAGTGCTCGAATAGGGAATTTTTAAGTAGAGGAACACAATCCAGCAATTTATAAACTGCGTTCCAAGTGCAAAATTACTCAACGCAGACCCGAGGGGGGCTTTGCCACCCGCACCCCCATTAACCCACTCAACATTTTTCAATACTGCATTTCCCCTTGATTACAGCATTTTTACTTTATTCTATTCCAAATTTCCAAATGTAATGTATTTAACTATATGTGTCTATGTAACATGTAAGTGAAAAGGGACTTATATTTTAAATTTATATTGATTGAAATAATACCTATATATTTCGGTAGGAAATAAAAAATTATAACTATTAGTGATAATAACTTAATATTTATAATTTGTGCTTCAGACGCATATCTATGTTAATTGTTAATAAGAGTCCACAGATATTTGATAATACAATAGTTTATTGTAGGCACATAATATGTGCAAATTACTAAACTAGGCAAAGAACAAGCGTGATATAATATAAACAAACTATAATAAAACAATTAGCAAGTTATTAGGAAGTCTAAGCCAGCGGTATTCAACCGGTGGATCGCTACCCAATCTTGGGTCGCGTGATTTATAAAAATGGATCGTGACAGGTCAAAATAAATTAATTTAAAAATTGAGTTTACTTGTGATCCCAAACTTAAACAAATTTTTATTGAAACTTTTTTAGAAATGTTTTACCGTTTTGGGCACACTTATGCAAGGGAAATTACGCAAAACTAGCAGCTAGTCTTTTTTCTTTCATGTCCTACAAAGTTGAAACGAGTCGTGAAAATATTGTTACTAAAACAGTGGATCGAGAGTTAAAAAGATTGAACACTACTAGTAAAAACTATAGACAGGATGAAAAATATCTTTATATTAAAAAAATTCAAATTCATTAGGTATGCTTATTTATCTTTGATAACAATTTAGATCCACTCCAAATTGTAATAAAAATTATTATGGGCATTAGTTTGAACCGTCCCCCCGTCCATGTAAACAAAAATAGTTGGGGTTCGCAAAAAAAATAAAAATGGTAGAGGAACTCCGTCAACCTGAGTGCCCCCCCCCAATTCGAGCACTGGTCATAACTTTAATATTTATTTGTGTAAGTGTCAGTAATAAAGTGTGACAAAACAAACTTTTTAAATTTGGAAATCAATCGAATATGAAATAAGAATAATATTTTGTAGTTTTCTATTTTTTTTTTTTTTTTTGTTGCCAATGGATTTATGGAAGCCCTCACAATAACAACAAATGTACTCACAGAACTCATACTAGGTAATACTAGGTAATAAGGATGTAAATATAAATAAAGTTAGCACATTTTGTTCAAAATTTTAATTTTACAGAACTCAGTCTAAAAGTATATATAAATTAGTTTTTTGATGTTGTACGTTCGTCAGATCGAAGTTTTGACGGAAATGAACTGAAAAAAGCTATCTTGTAGAAATTAAACCAGTCAATCAATTTCATATTATATTTTATGTAAGTGCTTAATAAAACTACATACTACTAAGGTATATAGTATAACAAATTTACCTTTCCGTAAGATCCATTCTGTAAATTGTATTTACTATACCAATCGATACAAACGGGTTTAACACCATTACTAAATGAAATTTTTTTTTCTAACACAATAACTGCTAAATCTAGAGTATTTTGTTCAGAATCATCAGTAAACAAGTAAATCTTTTTTGCCTGCACAAATGTAGTAATTTATATAATATACATTATACAAACTAATTTTAAACTTTAAAAGGTTACTTACATCGATATAATAGCGATTATTATCATGGTCAGTTTGTAAGGGAATATCAATTTTAAACAAAAATTGACTATCACTTATACGGAAACCCAAAAAATTTTTAGCCGCTAAAAATAATAGTTAATTAATTTTCATTCCTTCTTAAATACATTGTACAATGACTTTACAAGCAACTAATATATTTGGAGCGATAATTGATCCTAAACCTGAATAGTAATATTCGTTTGATTCTTTCTTCATTGCATATATATCAACTATCCAAGGTATTGCTTCTAAGAAATGTTCTTGTTTACTTCCCTTGGAATCCACTGTGCCGCAATCTAAAACCGTATAAGATATATTATTATATGTTATATTAGAAGCACCATATAAAGATTAATATTAGTAAGCCTGGCATCTAATAGTAATAAAAAAAATATTATAGGTATATCATTAAGCTATTGTTTTGTACCCATGCTTATATTTGTTCCATACTCGTATCGTGAGCACAAGTCTTTGCTCTCGTCTGAACCATCTAAACAATCCATATTACCATCACAAGCCAATGACCAATCTATACGCAGTCCATTTGAACAATAAAACATATCATCAATGTCTCTATAATGTTTTTCAAATGAGCAACAAATTATTATTTAATATTAATTATACAATGATAAGGAAATATGAGAGCTATAGAAATATAAACAATTACTGAATTACCTAAAAAAAAACAATTTCAAGATTATAATAAAAAATTCGATTGCAGAGCATAGGTACAACTAAATGTTATGTCGCAATCCAATTGCCTACACTTTGACAACATTTTAACAATAAAATAAAATTAGAGGTTAGTAAATTAGGTTTTTCGCATGCTAAAATTTAAAAAAAAAGGGGGGGTTTTGATCTTCCTGATCATAATATGTAGTAACTAGTTAGTAGATGAAATATATAAATAGGATTGATTGTCCTTATTAAGACTTTAGATATCTAAGCCCTCCAGACTCCAAACACCACTATGTTCGACATTTATACTAACACAAATTATTTTAAATAATATTTATTTATACTAAAGTCACCAACCCCGAGGAAGATGATATAGATGGTGGTCTTTGAATAATTTCTATTTGACTTGTCGAAAACTGTCGAGGTTGTTGAGATTGTCGATTTTGTTTGACAGTTTGATGATATCGTGAAATATGTAGACTTAAAAAAAAATATTATAGGTATATCACTAGCTATTTTTTGTATCCATGCTGGTATTTGTTCCATACTTGTATCGTGCACAAAACTTTTTGCGCTCGTCTGAACCATCTAAACAATCCTCATAATCATCGCAAACCGATGACCTTTCTATATATTGTCCATTTGAACAATGAAACTCATTATCAGAGTGTCTATAATGTTATTTAAATGAGCAACAAATTATTGTTTAATATAAATTATAGAATGATAAGCAAAAATATGAACTCTATAGGAATATAAACATTATTATATAAAAAATTCAAAATTTTAATAAACAATTCGATTACAAAAGAAAAAGTTTTGATCTTTCTTATCATAATATGTAGTTCCTAGTTAGTAGATTAAAATATATAGATCGGATATTGATTGATGGTCCTTATTAAGACTTAAGATCTCTAAACCCCCCAGGCTCCAACCCACACTATTTTCGACATTTATTAATTAATTAAACATAAATTAGGTTACATAATATTTATTTATAATTATATTAAAGTCACCAACTCCGAGATATATATTACAGTTGGTCGTTCATCGAGTTTTCTATTACACAAAATACTGGATCCTGAAATAATGAATTATTATGCATTAAATACGTAAACAATGTTCAGTGTATTAAGATTATTTTTATTTGTTTTTATCAGGATGTATAGTTGGAATTCATTTGTATCATAATATTATTATTATATATATCTTGCATTCATGTTTAATATTTATTATGTACGATAGCATCATTGTAGTTAATAATAGATGGTGAGAGTACCTACAAAGTTTTTGAACAGTCAATAAAATGTAAAAAGAAAACCTATCATTCCTTTCGCAAGCTACTTTCTCCACTTACAATGATTGACAATTCAATCACTAACTTATATTAAAATATGTAGATTACCATAAGAACAAAATATTCAATTGTAATGTTTCTGTTTATGTCATCGCCGAATATTAATAAGTGATTATTTTATTTTCATAATTTTTATTTTGTCATTTGATATATTATACTGTATACATTTTATTTAAGTACCAACGAATTATGTTTGAACTGAATAACTATATATAGGTATTAATTGCTAATGTGAAAATTATTCGTCAGTACTTAAAGATACAATAATGTATTATATTTCTTTATAATTAAAAAAAAGTGATAGTAACATTTCTCATCAAACTTCCAGCGTAGTATCAGATTGATATTAAATATATATTTAGAGGAAAATACCTTCCTTTACAATACTCCGAAGGTAATAGCAAGCTGATGTCACTAAATCTTATGAGCCTTTTGTAATATATAAATGTTATTATAAATCAAGCCAGGGACTGGAACCGTACCGAAATTGACCAGTTTTGGACCGGAACCTTTAAATAAATATTTTTAGAAACAAAAAGGTTATTTTGGTTTTTTTCTGTTCCAAAACCCAGTAGACATTTTATCTACGAGTATAGTAGTAGGTATAATATAATTATAAAGTTAGTTATTACTTATTACTACTTATTAGGAATAACATATTATAATTATAAAATCAAAATTAAAAATAGTAATTTGTACGTTTATAAGTGTTTCAGAGTAAGTTGTCTTATATTTGTTCCATAACTAATATGACAGCAGGGCTGCAGTTATAATATTAAATACCTAATGGGAGTATTGTATATTAGTTTAAAATTTAAATATTATTAACTATAAAATAGGTAGGTATAGTGGACACCTAGTGGACACCTACCCAGTTATGTTTTAAATATATTATAATTTAGGATTTATTAGTCATATAAAATATTAAACGCATGCCAGTAATGTTTTTTTTTTAAATTTTACAATTTTTATAATTCAATGGTACCTATAGTGAAACTTCCATAAACACTCAGTGAATTATTGAATACAAATATACAATAGTATATATCTTTTATAGTTTTAGTGTTAATGATATTATATTACCTAAACTGTGAAATAGGTAAACTTATTTACAGTTAATACTAGCCATTAAATAGAGGTTCATATATGCCAACTTTTTTATACAGTACCTACTTAATTGATAAAAATAAAATAAAAAGTAAAAGTAAAATATAAATGGTTAAACCGGTATTAACCAAAACCGAAACTGAAACCGAAATTTGATTATTTTGAAAACCGAAACCAGAACCAGAACCGAAATTTTAGGTTTTTGAGAACCCAAACCTAAACCCAAACCGATAAATTCATAAAGGTTCCTGTCTCTGAATCAGGCACCTGGGTTCAATTAAAATGTGTAATATTATGTATTATTGCCATCCAATAAAATAGACGTAGCCGTTTGGATGTGGCGGTTTGGCGAGGGGACAATAAATTGGACGTACAAAAAAGTAATAAAAATATTGAAACAAAATTTAAGAATTGAAACAAAATCTAAAAAATTAATAATTATAATAAATAATAATACACCAATTAGATCAGTATAAAATATTTAAAACAAAGTGAGCCATCGTGGAACCCCTGGCAGATATGAAACATCAATTTTTGTACAAATATTGAAAGGATGGTTTATTAAACGAAATAAACATAGAATAATCAAAAACATAATATTCAAATTTTTTGAAACAAACTATTCTTTATTTCAAAGGGCCTTATTTCATACTTCTTAAGTCAAAGTGTAGTTATAATTACCAATCCATACTAAAAATAACAATAAAATTACTATATACGTACCAAAAATTAAACATGAATAAATTATCCAGGAATATAAAACCTTCATTTCCATTGTGAGCTGAAATTAAAACAAATATATTTAAAAATATAATCAATGAATGGTGTACATAACTAGTTATATTAAACAAACAAATAAATATAATGGATAATAATGAATAATAATGAAATGTAGATACCTATTATAATAAACACTGAAAATATCTGTTGAGAATTTATAATGTTTTTACTTAATCAGATAACTCTATGTAAGAGACCATAATATCAATACAACTTTACATCACTAGAGTCACATAATGTCATGTCTTATAAAAACTTAAGCTAATATCGCATAATACTTGAGTGTTATCGGTTTCTTATTATGTAGTATATATGTGATCACATGATCGACCAATGGTCAAACTACTTAGATATGTGTAAAGTTGAAAAGATGATTAACTAACTTTTGTTTTAAATTTGATTATAGTTTATAGTTAATATATAATTAATATAATATTAATAATTTATTTACCATATTATACTATACTGAGGGGCCTTAGTGGCGCAGTGGTCACGCAGTTGACTACGACTCATACAGTCATCGGTACGATTCATAGCATAGTGCAAAATAAATTTGTGTGGTTCTACGCGATCACCATTTCCCCTTGCTGTCGTCCGATTGTGTCATCCGGTTTTCAACTAGGTCCCACTCCACTGGGAGTGAAGACCGCACATGCCTCCTCTTGCAGGAGAAAGAGGGTAGTATCATGCATATAGTGATGTGTACATTGATAAATGCATCACATGATCTCCCTTCTACCCACTTGTGATAAGCATTGATGAAAACCTAGAGGTCGTTTCAATGAACAAATAAAAAAAAAAAATATTAGGTATACTATACCATGGCTAAATAATAATTGGGTAGAGACTAGTACCAAAACTCTGTGGTTTGCGTCACGGGTATAGTGCATTTTATTTTTTAAATTTTTATACTTTGGCCTTAAAATATAATGTATTTTAATTAACAAATACTGTTTTCTTTTTTAATGTTAGTTATTAAATCAGTACATTGCAACATTTTGCATGTTCTGATATTAATTTTGAAATCAGATTTAAATTCGTCACTAAATTATCTATGCTTTGACAGTTTTATTTTTTTTTTACTTAGAAATTTTATAACAAAAAGAGTAAGAATAGTTATAAAAAAATTTAAATTCAAATACATTGATATAGAATATGAAAAATGTACGACGATCAAAGCATAATACATTTAAAGGAGAATTCAAAATGTAAAAACATCATACTGAGGGTAGTAATTGAAGTTGTAACGATAAATTACACAGGAATTTGTTTTGATGTATAGTGTGTTTTTTTTATTTATTATTACAAATATATTATAATATTTAATAATGTTCGTTTACAATATTTTCTTTTTAGTTCATATATAATATGCTCTTCGAGCTACAGATATAATATAATGTTTGTTTATATAAACTGGATATGACTCACGTATTTTTTTCCGTGACGGATCACCTCTTATATCAAAGTAGGTATCACACGGCTCCCGGAGGCGTATTAGGAAACCCAGGACGCCACAGAGCGCCTTATGTATACCACGTTCTCATTGGCCCATTTCAAATTGCCCGCTTTTTTTTTATCATTTATCAAATAATTTAATTTAATTTAATAATATAAAATTAATTTAAATATTATATTATATTATTTAATTTAAACAAATTAAACTAACTATTTAGTAGGAAAAGGTACCTAACTAATATTAAACATTATTATTATGTTATTATAATTCAATAAATTAATGTAGAATGAGATCTCTACACAGTTATTTTTATTTTTTACTTTAGTAGGTACCTATACCTACCTCAGAGTGAACATTTCTTACTGGACTAAGTGTATTGTACTTGTACACACCTTTTGTGTTAGCTAAAAAGATTGTCTAGGTTCTTCCTAACATATAGAAACAAAATACCAATCTTACTTAAATGTTTTATTTTTACTAAAACATAAGATTCTTAATTAAAATAGGTATAGGTAGGTACCTTACTAAAATTTCATGCTCTAACATTAATATATGTATTGTATTTTTAATAAAGACATAACTATTTTTAGAGGAACGAATTGAACAAGTGTTCAATGATTATTTTAATAATATATGGAATGGTAGCTACTATGAAGCTAACGGTTTTAAAATAAAATTAAAGAAATTGTTGTAACTTCACATGAATGGTGCAAAAACAATTTTGGACGTCTAGTTTGGTAGTCTAGATCATCGATGACTGAAAAGCCCTGTTATTATTTTCAATTTTATATTTGTAGGTACACTATATTACTACCTACATCAGAAGTGGTTTATACATAATAATTTTTTTACACATTTATAATTAAACTAATTCAACCTTTTTAAAATGTTATGCAAGTATTAAGTAAACAAATATTAAGGTATGTAAAAAATAATACATACATGTCTACCTACATAGTCAGGGGTAGGTAGGGGTTACACGATCATTGAAAATATATAAAAATTAGAAAAAAAAAAAAAAATTCGGACCCCCTTCAATTTCAGAACTTATTTTTCCTATAAAAAAAATAATTTTACTTCACACATTTTAAAATTTAGATTAAGAATAAGCAAAAAACAATGCAATTGATTATAGCAGGCTTATAATAATGTTTTCAATTGATCAAGTTTAAGTAAAAGTTTAATACTATTAATAATTTAACCCAAATTACTACTAAAAAAATATACATTATATTATTATATTTATTATAACGGTTCACGGACCACCAAGATTATAAGATTATAAGATAAAAGTGGTCTGTGGACTATAGGTTGGGAATAACTGTTTTAGTGCCTGTAGATAGTAAATATACAATTTTCATAGTTCTGCCATTTTCAAGATTTTTGGATCATCCCCTCTTGAACACAGAGGCCGCTTGATCATGCATTTTGTGGTTCACTGAACCGCCAAACAGTTTAGGGTAATAGGGTGGGTGTCATTTTAATAGGTAGGTATACTTGGTCTTAGTAATCACTAATCAGTGTCCGGTATAGCCGTATAGGTAATATAAAAATGGTTACAATCACATACATTAACTTATCAACTTGTGAAGTTATAAACATAAAGTACTTTTATGTGACATTATTTTGTTATCCTAAAATCGCAATAAATTGTATACTAGAATGTCTATTGAATTATTTGAATTATAATAATATCGTTATATTACTGAACTCTTCTCTAATGTGAAATTGGCTGAAATGTAGTAACTTATACTGAATTCAACAACTGATGTGTCAAAGCACGATCAATTTATTTTTGTGTATAAGTGTAGGTATTGTAAACAAAATTTGAGGTTTTTTTAATTTGAATAATTTTTCTATAATACATTTTCATCCCATTTCATCGAATCCCACTTGGCTGACAAAAAAAACCAGCTGTATATGGATTGATAACAAATTCCATAATTTGGCCGAATAATATTTTTCCTAATACCACTTTTCCTAGGTTCTTACTCATCAGACTTTGGATGGGTATAGGCACTACGCCCTGGGAACTAACCGTTAGAAAAACGTGCAAAGTAATCGTAATGTACAGTAGGTATATGACTCACTGTATGTACCTATATTTTACTTTACATGGTTATTAAAAATTTAAATTACACCTATAAAACTTTTAGAGTGCCTATTTTATTAAAATAAAAACTGCACACTAGTGAAGCCGGAATATTCAGCATCGAAACAGACCATATCGTATACATATACGATTTTGTTTTGATCAAAGAATTAAAAAACCAGCAGCAACATTTTGAGCTTGGTATTTTAGTTCAAAAAGATGTAATCAAGCTCCAAAAAATAAGAATAAAATACAAAACGTTAGAAGAAAGATTAAAAACTGCAAAAGAGAGGTAAATAGTTATCAGTTATCATATATTCAACATGGGTAGTGGGTATATATATAGGTACATTTATTTCACCTGAGCCAATTTAAATATCTTACCGAAGTAATTGCATAGTGTTTGACCACAATACTCCACTGAAAATATTGAAATATTACCATATATAATATATGTATATTGCCCACAAGCAGTGCATATTTAAAATATATTCAGATTAATAGATTTAAAGCTATTATAGGTGATTGCTATTTTTGAAACCTGAACATTTAATATAAGGTTCACTTATTTTACTAAGCACCCACAAATGTTATTAACAATTGCATGGTTTTCGACAAAGATTTATTCAACCTACAGACATAATTTATTTACATTACCTACAGTAATATAAATAAATTATAAAACATCATAAGAAACAATTATTTTTAGAATTTAATGATTTATTTATAAATTCAAACTAAAATCATCCATTACAATATGTATTAAAGTGACTTCCTACATGCATTAAGAGATGAACTTGAAACTTACAATACAACAAGGAAACTTCGCCTGTTTCTTCACTACCTACAAATTGTTAAAGTTAAAAAATAAACGTACAATACACATTAAACATAAATTTTTTTTCAAAATTCCACCATTCCATTACCTATCGATGATATTATATAGCATCAAATCGCAAAAATTAGAAAGAGCCATTCTACCTTTTCGGGTGTTTTATAAAAGAGGAAAAAATTAAAAAATTATAACAAATGTGTAATGCACACAATGATCTTGTTGAAACTTAAGATGACCTATATAATATATTATTTCATTGTGTAGGTATTAAAGTAGTTTAACGTGTTTCGGTGGAATATTATAATATACTGACTCTATGTGTGGAGTGTGCGAATAACACCTGGCGAGTCTTCTAAGTACCACTCACGATTTTTAACAGTACCTATTAATGTTTATCTACCGCTGAAGCTCAAACTTACGGCTCGGGGTTTGCCGCAGAGACGTCTACATGGTTGCACGTTTATTTCAGTGTCTATTCGGCTATTTCCATATCACGATGCAGAACAAATAACATTATCCGCAGGCATATAAAACCGAGCTGTTTGCGAATAGGTAAATACTATAATATAATTCGTAACTAGTCGAAACGGAGAGGCTTGGACTTATAATATATCGCTCATATTAAATTATGCGTACCCGTACATGGCTCGATTTTGGGGTGGTTAAACGGAAGGTGAAGTAAATCATTTATCAACCACTCTAGAATACATAATTTTTAATTTTTTTACCATCATGAAAATCGATGACATCCATGATAATACAATATCCACCTGCGTGACCATATAGGATTATTACATATATTTATGCAAAACGAATGAGGTAGATATAATAGATAGGTATTAATACATAGTACATACTTTATAATAATAAGTATAACATGAGTAACATAATAATATTAATAATATTAATTTAATTAATACAGAACAAAACAGGTGGCGAAGAGCCGACGATGGTACAGACATGAAATACGTGAGGCAAACCTACACTAACTTGGTACAAATGACAATGGAGGACATGATAAACGGTTTCAGAATAGTACCAGCGAACACAAAAGTGAGATAACGGTGGGAGAGGAGGGGATGTTTAAAAACTTTTAAACTCTATAATATACATATTACTGGTCTATCTTGTCAACAGAACCACAACAACAAAGGAACCGCCTGACAAATTTCTTTGTCTGGCGCCAAAATGAACGACGAGGACGTGTGTGTCTCGGACTTTCCTGTTTCCGTACATCGCTGGTGACCTGCTGAAACTTTAGATTTGGCGTTGATCGCCACCCAATATCTGCAGCTGTCTCGCCAGCTAATTTTGGATATACTGGGATATTTGGCTCAGATACACAGAGCCTGACGTCCAGAAAACCTTTGGAATCAAAATTTTTCGACGATTCCAGTTTCCGTACATCGCTGGTGACCTGCTGAAACTTCAGATTTGGCGTTGATCGCCACCCAATATCTGCAGCTGTCTCGCCAGCTAATTTTGGATGTACGGGGATATTTGGCTCAGATACACAGAGCCTGAGGTCCAGAAAACCTTTGGAATCAACATTTTTCGACGATTCCGGTCTTCGTATATCATTGGTACGGTTAAACTTCAGATTTGGCGTTGATCGCCATCCAATATCTGTCAATTTGGCTGAGGAATTTTCACACATCGCGGCCATGTTAGGCATAGATACACATCTATATGACATATTTATTTGATAATATTATATAGGCAGAATTAACGGAGAAGATTATACAGAAATACGTAGAAATGAAATTTATTCGTAATGAACACAAGAAATGAATATTGACAAGTGGTAACTATGTGACACAGATATGAATTGTAGATTTTTGAAACATTCACTTACATGGCAACGATATTTTAGTTGTTTGTGTTGTTTTCTTAGAGCCAATATTAATAATGTTAATGAAGTTGAGAATTTCATAATGCTTTACCAAGAATTTTCGAAAACTAATTGGATTCGTGTTGGTCAGATTGACAATCCATCAAGGTAAGTAAAAATAGTTCTCATTATTTGATTAATATTAATGTATAAGACATTTTTTTTTTCAGAGTCATGTTTCATAAATATTGGGTACCTATGGCAGCAAAGTAAGGTGACTTCATTAACATTATTAATATTGGCTCTAAGAATCGAGGTCTTTTCATTTATATTAGAAACTTCATTTGATAGAACCGCAATGATATTATTATTTTTTAAGAACTTAATGAATTCATCCATTATGAATACAATATAATTGATTATTCAGAAATGCAGAAACAGAGAACTACCAACAACAAGTTAAATACCCAAACAACCAGAGCTTAAAAATACCTAACTAGTGAAAATGCTAAGATGCTTTAAACACTAACAACTTAAAATTAAAAGTATAACTATAACGGAGATGTACAATTAAAGTTTAAACATGACAGCAAGTCAGAAATCAATTTGATATTCCTGTTGACAAATTAATAATAGCTGGTAGGTAGTCTGGTAGTCAATAAATAAACCATGTGACTATATTATACTGTTATCAGTAGCGATAAATTTAGATTATAATTTAGGAGCTATATCTACATATATTTTAGTGGCAACATCAATTAATTAATAATTAATAAACGAATACCAAGATGTAAATAAGATAAACTTCTGTTTAAATTTTTGATATTTAGGAAGTCATGTTGTATATTCAGAGCTCAACTGATGTGCCATGTGGTACCTGCAGCGATTGTTCCCAGCTTTTTCACCTTTAAATACTGTGCAAAGACAGAAATTTAACATGCACCTCGCATGGTCATCATAGTAAAAAAAAATACTTTAAAATATGTTGAATATGAAAAAACATTAATTTAGGACAATCAAATGCAAAATCCCATGGTAGAGGTCACTGAACATATAACATGTATTTTTCATTGTTTTTACATAGTTTTTTTTCATTCGAATTAATATTTTATGACTTCATTATGAAGTTTATACTGGAATTACCTACATTAAATTATATTATTATTTGTAACTAGGTATACTGTTATCAGTTTGATATATTAAGATTAAAATTTATAATAAACTTAGTAGATGTAGAAGATAAACTTCCCTACATCATAAAATAAACAAAATTTAATGTAATATAATAACAAATTGTTTAATCATTTGCTAAAAAAATTGATATATCTGAGTTCAAAATTGTTTCCTCATTAAATTATAATAAAATTGAATGGTATATTTTATAATAATTGTCATTATAATCTATATAGGAACTTGTAACACCTATAAAGTATTATCGGATAGGTCAAATTTTTGAATTTTGTTAGTACATTTTTGTTATTTAGGGAGTCATGTTGTACATTCAGGACAATTAAATCACATTCAGAGCCCAACTGACAGCATTTTAACATGCGAGGTGGTCATCATAGTAAAAAAAAAATACTTTAAAATATGTTCACAGTTTTAAATGTTTGTAAATTTTTTTTTTTTTTTTGTCTAATATTTATATATTTTCAATGATCGTGTAACCCCTACCTACCAGCTCTGACTATGTAGGTAGACATGTATGTATTATTTTTTACCTACCTTAATATTTGTTTACTTAATACTTGCATAACATTTTAAAAAGGTTGAATTAGTTTAATTATAAATGTGTAAAAAAATATTATTTATAAACCACTGCTGATGTATGTAGTACCGTGCAGTATGGTGGTTACTATGCTTGATTTATTATTGACTTCTTCACTTTCCAAACTGCATCTCGTGTATTTGATTATAATAATTCATATTGGGAGTTTACACTCTGATTAATATTTATATCGTAGACATAAACTTCGCCGTAGATTACATTTAAAGTTGTAAAATGTTGTCGGTCGTAGAGTTGACATGCGCTCTGTACGCAGCTCTTATCACTAGTGATAATAGCATTTATTTGTATTTTAACTGATGGATTTTAAGTTATGGTACATATATGAATATTACATGTGACTAATTGATGCTTAATTAGTCACATTACGCTTACGCGCATTGTCATCCCGCTTTTTAATTGGGTTTCAACGGTGTACCGATTATGTGCTGAATGTAACACGACATTCGTATTAACGCATTCGGCCACCGCCAGATAGCGAGAGCTATTTCAAAAGACACTCGTTTTGTCTCGTTACAAAGTCACTGGTAGTATTTTTTGCAAAAAAATATTTGTAATTTTTTAAAGTAATAGGTATGTGGTGACATATTGTACATCCGCGTACGTAAAATGACAGACGTACTTATCCGGTCGCTATGATTCCCCTATACAACGTGATCGGTACTACGAATTACACACACTAATCTAAATTTATTTTCAAAACATTCACAAGACCCATATTAACTGAAATATAAAATGCCTAGTTTTTACTCCTTAGAATGCATTACGATCCATCCCCCTTAATAAATTATGTCAAAATTCAAACTTTAAGTGCTTAAAAAAAATTGTGACTATTTTTAGTATTTTTAATATTTTTGCTACTGTCATTATAACAATATATTTAAAGCCTTGTATCAAATTTTCAATTTTTTTGATATAAAACTTTGACATTAATAGAAAATAAAACAAAAAAAAATAGTAAACTGAAAATGTTCGTAAGCCACTCAAATAATATCAAAATATATTGAACATTTTACTGTGTATAGAAAATTGCATGTACCTATGGTTATTCGTTTTAGAGTTACTCCAAAAACTGGTTTTGCGTAAAAATTATTGTTTTTAAAAACTATTGAACATTTTATAATTTAACCTTCCGAATGCAACAACAAGAATCACTTTCCCATCGAACAAGATACTGTTCAAGAAAATCGAAGAAGTTTTACTACCCTAAACGATGATAATATACACAAATATTATTTGCACTCCAAATAACTAATAAAAGTTCCAATTCTTTTTTAAATATTTATGACCAGGATGTACGTAGTATTAATAACAAATTAACACATTTAAAATCGTTATCTCCATTTTCTTTATACGATATTCTTATATTTACTGAATCGTGGCTAAACGATAACATAAACTCATCAGAAATAGGTTTATATGATTATATAATATACAGTCATACAGATATGATAGAAATATAAAAACAAGTTAGTTATCTAGAGTAGGTGGTGTATTAATAGCAATTCGCAAGTCCCTTCCTTCCAAACCATTAATATTAGAAAATAACAATGATTGATAATTTTCGATTAATTTTGATAAATTTTGTCAAAATTCGATCTTTAAATGCTTATAAAAAAAATTTTTCCTATGCATTTTTAATATTTTTAAACTGCTATTGTAACGATATATCAGGAGCCTTGTATTACATTTTTACACTTTTTGGCCCAACACATAAAACTTTATTGATATATTTTATAGAAAAAAAAACTAAAAAAATTTAAAACTTAAAATGTCTGTTAACAGCTCAAAAAGAGTCACAATATTTTCAAAATTGTATGGTGTATAGAAAATGCTAATATTAACATTCCGTGAAATTTTCATGTATCTACAGTTATTCGTATTTGAATTACAACAAAATAAGGAAATCGCTACATGAGAAATCGAGTGAATATCCAATATTGTAAACATTTGAAATTCAAATGCTCATAAAAATGTAATTTGAGTTTTTTATAGACATTTATTTCTTGATAAAGGTAGATAATCTTATAAAGAATCTTGTATCACTTCTTAAAATCCTAGATTTAAAAAGAAAAATTTTTACGAATTCTTAACTCAAAATAATTTGCTAATTTTCGTGATTTTTCCATATTTTGTCAATTTTTGAACTTTAAATGCTTATAAAAAAAAATTGTGACAAAGGATTTTTAATATTTTTCATCTGCCTTTGAAACAATATACTAGGAGCCTTCTATTTTCAAGCTCTTTTAACCAACAAATAAAATTTCATTGATATTTTTAGAAAAAAAACCAAAAAAAAAATGGAAAATGAAACTGTCCATAAACAGTTCAAAATATTTTAATTGTATCGTGAATAGAAAATGCAAATATAAACAACCAGTGAAAATTTCATGTATCTACAGTCATTCGTTTTAAAGTTACACCAAAAACCAAATTAAATTTTGTGAAAAGTCGATTTTGGATAAAATTCCCGTTTTTCCTTAATTTTTATGTTGTTTTTCTTGGCGCTTTTGAAAAGTACTGGGAATTTTACATTTTGACATCCCCAATGCACCAACAATATTCACTTTCCAATCGAACTAGTTTCATCGGTTCATAGTTTTTCATCGTTTCACTCAGAATCTAAAATATTCAAAGTCTAACACTTGATCTCGTCATCTAAACCTCTTACGTTATCAATATTGAAAAAATGTCTATTTCTTTTGTTCCTATAGACATAATCAGGGCTTGCAAACGTTATAATAACGTTATATTTGACAAATAGCGATTGAAATTTGTAAACGTAATTACAATTGAAAGCGAAAATCTAAAATAATTAAATACCGCAAAACAAAGCATAACGAATAAAAAAATATATAATATATCATTAAACAAAAAATATCGCAAAACGTAGTTTATAGAATATCAGTAAACGAAAAGTAACGAAAAAAAAATTATTTGAAAATTTAAAATTCATTTATTTAAAAGTAAGGTATATTGTTTTGTAGAAATATATTTATTATTTCAAGCTATTTATTTTTGTCTAAGAAAAAAATCTAAGAATTGATTATATTATATTCCGTATCCGGGACATTCCTAC